CTAATAAGGAATAGCTAATGTGTATAATGAATAAATATAAAATTCCAGGTATTTCTGTAATGATTTTGCTCATTTTCGTTTAACTTGTTTTTTTTCTTTATTTTTTTTTATCCGCTTTATTAAATAGATTCCACGTCACTGCTCATACTTGTAAAAATATACGATTTGTTTTCAATTTTTCTATACATATTTAAGTTATAAATCTATTTTCTATAAACATACTGAAACAATTGATGTGTAAAAAAATAAACCTTCTAAAACTCTTTTGCGACACACACATAGACTCATACATGACGTCTGATATCCCCTGATCTTGAGGCACAGACCAATCAACGACTATTCTGGAAGACTAAAATAGGACCTACAATTCGCCAATTATATATATATATATATACATATATATATATATATATATATATATATATATATCTATATATATATATATATATATATATATATATATATATATATATATATATATATATATATATATATATATATATATATATATATATATATATATATATATATATATATATATATATGTGTGTATGTATATATATATTTGTGTGTGTATGTGTGTGTATACAAATGTGCATATATGTGTATATGTGTGTGTGTGTGTATGTATATATATATATATATATATATATATATATATATATATATATATATATATATATATATATACATATATATATAATATATGTGTGTGTGTGTGTGTGTGTGTGTGTGTGTGTGTGTGTGTGTGTGTGTGTGTATAGCAGCAGCTTTATTAAGGAGGATTCCACCAGTCTGCGGGCGTGGACGTCAGCGGAAGGAAAGACAATTCGCGCCGCTGACCAATCCATCTGATGGCCTGTATCCCACTGATGGCAAAAGAGAGTGTTTTTGTTGTGTCCCCTGGATATACCATACTTATGTTAAGGCAAGCGCTTGGTGAGACTGGCACCCGTCTCGCCAAAGTATTGCTTGTCACAGGAGGTACAAGGAACAGCATAGATGCCCACCTTCGAGGAGGAGGGAGGGCTGGTGTGGACCAGGTTACGACGGAGAGTGTTCACCTGGCAAAAGATGAGCCTGTAGTTGAGAGTGTGAAGAGAGTTGATCTCCTCCGTGTAGGGCAGGTGAGGAGTCTCCTTAGGAGATGATTCGTGGTAGAAGGTCCGCCGTGCTCTGGATTGCGCGGCGTCGAGGACATGACGAGGGTAGCCCAGTTTGGAGAACGAACGACGCAGAAAGTCGATCTCTCCATTCAGGTACTGGGGTCACAGATGCGGAGGGCGCGGAGGAACAGCGACGTGGCAACACCTCTCTTTACATGGAGAGGATGGTAAAGAGAAAAGCCGTATATACAAGTATATATATATGTGTATGCATATATGTATATATATATATATATATATATATATATATATATATATATATATATATATATATATATATATATATATATATACATGTATATATATAACCAGGAAGACCACTGTGCATGGGCTTCCTGTATATGGAGAAGGAGAAGTGGTCAACAGAGCGATGAACTAGGGTGTCCAAGAAGGGGAGCCTGTTGTCAACCTGGAAGGGGAGAGAGAGTTCAGCTGGGTCAGGAAGTCCGAGAACAGGGCAGGGTCATGAGGCCAGAGAGCGAAGACGTCGTCAACATACCTCAGCCAAACCGTCGGACGAAGGGAGATGGAAGGGAGAAGCTCAGATTCGAAGAATTCCATAAACAGGTTAGCCAAGACCGGAGAGAGGGGAGAGCCCATAGCAACACCGAAAGTCTGGGAGTAGAAGCGACCCTCAAAGGAAAAGGAGTTCGATTCCACACACAGACGAATCAGCTGGAGGAAGACGTCGGTGGGCAGAGGGAGACGAGGATCCTCTGGGGGCAGGCTCCTCTCAAGGAAAGCGAGGACGTCATCAAGCGGGACCTTGGCGAACAGGGAATCGACATCCAAGCTCATCATGGTCACCGGTGGGACACCACGGACACGGGAGATGAAGTCCTGGGAATGACGGAGGAGAGAAGGTGCCGAGAAGGGGAGTGAGGGACTTCGCCAGCCAGGCTGCCAGAGGGTGCGTCACAGATCCCCGGGAAGAGATAATGGGGCGCAGGGGCACGGCAGGCTTATGGGTTTTAGGAAACCCATAGAAGTGAGGGAGGCGAGGGTTGATGACCTTAAACCTCTGGTAGAGGTTCGCCTACGGGAAACCTATATGCATATATATGTATGTATGTATATATATATATATATATATATATATATATATATATATATATATATATATATATATATATATATATATATATGTATATATATATATATATATATATATATATATATATATATAAACACACATATATATATATATATATATATATATATATATATATATATATATATATATATATATATATATATATATATATATACATATATATAAATATATATATATATATATATATATATATATATATATATATATATATATATATATA